CACACACACAAAATGCGCGCGCATTATATGCATTTCCGACGATATTGCTTGCAAAACTCGCTATTTCACGTCGCGGGAATTCCTGCATCGAGCGGAATAAGTAATCGGATTGGGAGGAAAACGCGAGCGAATCCTTTTGGCTATTTACTCCGACGAGGATCGACTCTTATCGCTTCAAGATTCTCTCGCGCGAGATTGCGCGATTTCCTCGGGGAGGAGTTCAACGCGCGGGGGATATCGGTTCCTACGCTTAACCCTCGTTCTAATGTTTACCATTTATCACGGCGCTCCCGATTGCCTTCCAGATGAAAAAGGATCATGCGTAGCCTCCCGCGTGCCTTCTCCTTCTCCTTCTCGCTCTTCCGTACGACGCCCTTTTTATTTTTGCGGAAACGCGTGCGTGCCGGCGCATAACTTTCAGATATCGTGTGGGCTTTATCGCGCGGACACCTGTCCTACTTACAGGCTCGTTATTATCGGAGCTTCTTATCTCGTGCCTGTGCCGATCTTTTCAAAGTGAAGGATTGCATCGTCGCGCCACTCGACTGCACGCCCAACTTGTTTCCGCGCGGCAAAATTAATAAAAGAAAGAAGGTAAATATGTAACAGGAAGAGGAGGTACATTAGCGCATTACATTGAACTCCCCTATATATAGGCTTCTTTCACTTTCATGTGCAGACGTAGATCGAGAATCTAGATCATCGCGTCCGTTGAAAAATGGATTTTTTATGGAAAACGCGTGCACTAAGCTTTTAGATTATTTTCTTAAATAGCAAATCATGTTATACAGACAATTAATTTCAAATAGCTCGCACATCGTTGCTGTATATCGTTGTACTCTTCTTTTTTTTACGAAAAATAGCAATTAATCGTATTGAAATCGTGATGACCATTCTCGATTTCTATCTGCTTATTATCTCATCGTATTATCCGATAATCAATTTTCATACTAGAAAAATCATCGCTCGATTGGGCAATGCGTTTCGCACGTTGACGCGCGTCGGGCGGACCACGCCGAAGGTATCGAACACCTATAATTAAACGTATAGAATCAATTATATGATGGGAGCTGAAAAAAGTTCCCGCATAGACGATGAGCCGCTCGGCGCTCTATAGCATGCACAACGCGTGTACGCACGTATGAAATAGCATTTAGTTAGGCCCAGTTATGGGATCCCGCTAGATTAGGGGTTATTAGGTGTCGGTGTCCCTGTGTTTCGAGCACGGCCCCTCATAGAGTGCTGTTTATACCGGCGTGTGTGTGTGTGCTGTGTTTTTCGATTTCGACGTTTTTGGGCCTCACAGTCCCTGGCAGTCCCCGCGTAACGTGTTATTACGTGTCTGGCGGTCTGCGAGCAAAGAGGGAGGAAGAAGGCACGAGAAAAAAAGGAGGATCGGGAGAGGAAGGAGCGAGAGAGCGGAATGGTGCGTGGCTCCACCTCGACCACAACACAACCCCCTGAGCCAACTAAATCGGGGCCCGTTGTGCCTCGCGGGCACAGTGCCACCAGTGTCTCTCAATAAAGATTATACAAATTGCTTATAAAGAAACTCTCGGAAACGATTGCGTTATGTCCTCCCTCGGACGCCTCGTCGATAAAAGAAGATTACAAAGAGAATGAGTTAATGGCACGTAATATTTAGTTTGTAAATATAGGCAAGTTGCAAAAATGGACTTTTAAAAATAGATTATTATTGTTAAATTTTATTATTGTTAATTATCAATAGTATTATTAAAGTAAATAAAATCAGATGCTCGGATTTGTGGACGTAAATATGGGGGAGAACAGGCAGAACATTTCCACCATAGCCGTTATTTCACGCGACGCGTACATTGTCGAACAAAAAGTAAGAGTCCATTATATACGGGGCGGATGGAGAAGGGAAAGCATTTCTGAAGGAGGCGCGATTAAAGGTAGCCCGATCGTCCTTTCGTGGCTATGATGAATTTCGTCATTTCGCTAAAACAAGGCAAAAGCGCAGCGATGCTCTGGGCGAATCTTTATTATGCGAGGATGGGGTTGCAGGTCGTTATATTATTCAATAGCTGGACTCCAGGGAGGAGAAGCGTTTCTTCCAAGAAGCCGGTGTAGTTTCAGATAATGGAGCGGCGAATTGGGATATAACGTGTCTTAAATTGTCTAATGAGTGTCCCGAAGGGTACTATGGATTCAAGGTCACTCTATTTTTTCACAGAAAGAACTATTATCTTAGAAATGCATCGAGATAAACTCTTTGTGAGATTAAATCCCAAATAAATCGATCTGCACTTCACACGATTTTGTAATTTTTTTATATTATACATAAACATCATATTTCTAAAACACTATCATGTTTAAGGACAAGATAAATAGAATTTAACAATTTGTTATTAATTATAAATGAATTCTCTTATCATTAATAAAAATAAACAACATGATGATAAAAACAACATTTCTTGTTTGTCAAATATAATAATAGAGCTTTCCAAAAATTAAGTTATTGAACGTAAATTTCTTCCTTGGCGATAAATGATCTCCTTTGCCGAGCTTGTATTTTCTGACGAATCCTTCGCAGGAGGTAGAATAGGCAGCACGTCTTGTTCGCTGAGAAGAAGGGAATTAAGGGTGCGGGGGATTCGATCGATTTTTAAAGTAACCGCAATATTTGACAGCTACAGCCCACGGCCGTGGTTTTTGGCGCCACCTGTTTCACGACCCTCCGGCCTCCACATACATATACATAACATATACTTGCGACTCACATCACACACACACACACACACACACACACACACACACACACACACACACACACACACACACACACACACTACT